CACCCCGTGTCTCGACCCGGTGGGGTGGGCCGGCTTTTCCAGGTGGGGAGCAGAAGGGGAGTATCCGGGCCACTATGGAGGGCCGTTTCCTCCGAGGGCTGGAAAGTGAGGACACCTGGGTTCTGGGGACCTGGTGAAATCCCTTCCTTCAGGCCACCTTTGCTCCGATGTCCTGGAGCCAGGGGACTCCGTGTGAAAACCCCTCACACGAAGAAGAAAGCCCAAAAAGCTCTCCTTGCCTGAGGTTCCCCCTCTGTCTGAGCCCAAGTTCCCCTAGCCTGGCAGGGCGGATGGGAGATGGGACCGGGCTCCTGGAAAAGTACGGTCTCCTGGATGGGCCGGGGTCAGCCGCGCAGGGGCTTAGGCCTCTGAGGGTAACACTGGGCCCCTAGGTCATCTCTATCCTCAGCCCATCTCTCTCCCTGCGACACAGCCCTGCCTCTGTCCCCAACGCCAGCTCAGGTCTCTCAGCTGTCACTGTTTAGCTCTGGAATGTCAGGCGTCCAGACTCTGTGAGTCCAGCCACATTTAAGGCCATTGAGCTTAGCACCCCTAGGCCTCTGCCCCCCTCTCTCTGCCCCTAGTCGCTAATTTTATTGACCTGTAAAAGGCACGTTCCTGGCAGGGGAATAATGATTGGAGGCACAGTAGGGCAGCTAGGCAGAAGGCAGAGATGGACAAGGAGGCAGGAGAGGGAGCCTGCTGAAGCCATAGCCAAGGGACGCCTGGACTGGAAGAGGAAGAGGGGTCCTGGGGAAGAGTGGTACACTCTCTGGGGCAGTTGAAACCAGAAAGACCAACTGGGATCCCAGCCCCTGATCAGACAAGAGGCCAAGCTGAACAAAGAAAATGCGTTCTGTCTCCCCTGAGGCAGGACCAGGGTGGAGCAGGCGGGAAGGAGGTTAGCTGGCCAAAGAACTGAAGAACTGCCGTCCTGCTGTCAAATCTCTGCCCTAGCCCCTCCTTCCTCTTGAAGGTGACTCCTGCCTGCTGGGCCTCTTACTACAGAAATAGCCCTTTCCCTGAAGAATCAACCTAGATCTTGCCTTTTTTTTTCTTTGTTAGAATGAGAACAGCAAATTGAGGCCTTTGTCATTCTCCCTACCCCCCCACCCCATGTGTGTGTGTGTGTGTGTGTGTGTGTGTGTGTGTACCTGAGCCCACCCCTCCAATCCTGGATCTCAGCTGAGCTGGGGAGAGGATCTGGGCATTAAGGGAAGATGGGCTGGGAGGTACTACGGCTAGAACCTATTTGGGGTAGAGGGGGCAGAGCCCCCCAGCAGGGTCTTCACCATGTGATCCTGCCCTTGCCCTACAGTCAGCTAGGATTACAGGTGTGCCCAGCATGCTTGGGTAGAGCTGGGATTTGAACCAGGAGCCTTCCTATATCGCCTTCAGCATCACATACCAGCAACCTACTGCCTGCACTGCCACTGCTGGGCCAAGGCCTCACATTCTTGACGGTCCTATTAGGTTGTCATGACATACTTTTCTGTTTTTCTGTGCAAAAATGTGTCATGACTTTCCCAACAACCCAATAGAAGGGTGTTTTAAACTTCTAATATTAAGGGGCCTAGCAGGTGATGTAGTACTTAAGGGCACTGGACTCCCACATGGCCAACCATGGTTCAAGTCCCTAACCTGGCAGCTTGCTTTCTCATTTTCCCCCTCTCTCTCTGTCCCTCTCTGGTCAAAAGTAAATAAATTAATTGATTAAAAGTTAAATAAAATAATTCTTTAAAAAAAAAACCTTCTAATGTTAAGATGACCATAAAACCAGAGGCAGCAGATGGTGTAATGTTTACAATGGTTAAGTCGCTGGACTCCCACGTAGTTGACAGTAGTTCAGGTCCTGGACCCGGCAGCTTGAAACTCACACCAGGCATGTGTACATGTGTTCCCAAAATCCTGAAAGAAGGGTTTGAGGTATGGCCATCCCCCCAGGAGGTGATTTCTCTCTTTCTCTGCCTCCTCAGAGAGTGCATGCACCCTATATCAAAAATCTCTCTTAGGGACCAGCAGTTAGTGTAATGGCTATGTCACTGGACTCCCATGTAGTCAACCACGGTTCGAGTCCCAGACCCGGTGACTTAAACTCATGCTGGGCACGTGTGCATGCATGCCCAAGATCCCAGAGAGGAGAATGGAGAAGGGATTGCGGCATAGCCATCCCCCCGGGGGGGTGATTTCTTGCTTTCTGTCTCTCTGTCTCTCTCTGTCTGGTGAGCTCATGCGCCCTATAGCAAAAACCTCTCAACAACAAAAAAAAACTCTCTTAAAAAAAATAAGCTCACAAAGCAGGTGAGTGTGGTGAATGGCGAGATTACGAGGTAGAAGGTAGAGATTATCATGGAATCATGAAACTTTTAGGGATGATGGCTACATTCCTCACTTCAATTGTGGCTCAGCAAACATGTTAATACTTATCAAGTCGCACACTCTAAGTATGTGTATGTGTTTACAACAATTATATCTGAATAAGGTTGTTTTTAAATATCACACGTTTTATTTTTAATTCATTGTTGTAGTCTAATCAGCAAGAAATAAGAGGACATCCAGACATTGTCAAATTAGAGTTTATTGATTTAGTTGGCAGCATGGGAGCTCATGTCTGTCAAAACCCCACAACCCCAAGTGAAAGGAGAAAGGAGCCTATATAGGCCAAAAATGCACAGTCATGTCTGGGATGACACGACAAGGGGGTAAGGTGCAGTGGGCTTCCAGAAAAAAAAAAGGGTAGGGGGTAGGGTTTAACAATGTAAAAGCGGAAGCCCTTACAGAAACAAAAATAAGCAGGTTAATCATTCCGATGGGTATACCATGGAATCTTTATGGTCTTCATGGCTCAGGGCAAGCTCTGGTAACTGGACCTTATCTTAAGCCAACTAGAGTGGGCTTTAAGGACCACAGGGGTGCTAATCACTGTTTACTCTTAGACAAAAGAAAAGGCAAGTTTCTAGTCATAGGAATCTAACGGTTTATAATGGAAGCACTCCTCCAAGATGGAGTCCAGCCTGCTTCAATTAAGTGTCTCAAAAACCAGAAGTGGCCTTGACAGAGCAGGGATGTTGTGATTCCTAGTACGATATGGCAAATCTGCCTCTGTTTTCCCCCCACTCCACCCGGTGCCTATGAAAGTGTCTGTGCACGTGAGGTGGGTCTGGGGCTGAGCTGTGACTCTAGTTGCTTTCTGATGGCAGGAGCCCTGCCCTGCCCCGCTGACCCAGGCACCTGGAGTTCCTCTGTGGCTGGTCAGCAGTGTGCCCAGAGCTGACCACTGAGGATGAGGACCGAGTGGCTTGGACCCAGGCTTTGCCCAGGGGAAGAGGATGGCTGCTGCAGACTCTCCTGCCCCCTGCAGTCTGAGCTGGGCACTGCAGTGACAAGGTGGTCAGTCCCCGGAGAGGTTGGTGGGGTTCTGGGCACAGTGCTGCACGAAGTTGAAGTCAGGCACGGGGAAGGGCACACGGGACCACTTTTTGGCTTGAATCCGCCCGTTCGGGGTCTCCATCAGCAGGCTGCGGACTTTGAGCGCTGGCAGTTTTACTGACTTGTAGATCATCTGCATACCCCAGGCCTGCAGGAGAGACAGGCAGGGTCTGGTCTCTGCCCTCACACTGGGCTTCTGTCCTCCAGGTGGAATGCCATGAACACAGGGCCTGTGTCTCCCACCTCCCTCACACATGGGCTCCCTCAGACAGGGGCTGGACCACCCTCCTCAGACTGGGGTCTGCTAGGGCAGGGTCATCTTACCCATTGTAGTGGGGGCTATCTCCCCCATCTGAATGAAGTCTTCTGAAGACTGAGGCCTGGGAAATGGCCCAAGTACTTACCTCCCCACAGTTGCTGCAGCTAATGGCCCCCCCAGGCCTCCAGTCCTTGAAGGTTCTGTTGATGACCAGAGGTTCTTGGGAGACAGTGTAGTAGATCCTGGGGAGGAACAGACCTCATGGGATAGCCCTCGCCCTGGATCTCGTGCCCTCCCACTGGCTGGGACTTCACCGGGACCTAGGCCTTCTTGTTTGTCAGCACACATAGACTCCCCAGGGCCAGGAAACCCAGCACCCGGTAAGCTCTGCCTATGCTGCCTCCATTCCAGTCCCTTCCAGTGCCCAAGTTCAGGCCTTAGCCTCACCTACCTGGATGCTTTTACGTCTCCTAGAAGCTCTCCCTGACTCCACCCTCCCACCGAGTGCCAGAGTGGTCTAAAAATGGAAATCTGCCCTGGCATCCCCTTGCTCAAAGTCTACCCAACACTCTTTGTTGCCTCCTGTATAAAAGCTCAACTTTCAGGCCTGGCCTTCAAGGCTAGTCTCTTTCTTCTGAATCTTTTTTTTTTTTAAGAATTATCGTTATTTAACTTTATTTATTTATTTAAATTTGAGGGGCAGAGGGAAGGAGAGAGAAAGAGAGCAAGAGCGAGCCACCATCAGGTCCAGGACTCGAACAGGTCCACAAAGTGGTCGGCCATGTGGGAGTCCAGTGCCCTTAACCACCACGCCACCTGCCGGCTTCTGCTTCTGAACCTTGTTCACAGTCCCTTCCACTCAGGTCAGCTGGAACCACCCCTGTCCTGGTGCTTTCCTCTACCCCTGCCTAGACTCACCTTCTACTCATCTTTTCTTTCTTATATTATTTATGAGAGATTTTTGCTGTAGGGCTTGTGCGCTCAGCAGAGACAGTCAGAAAATGAGAAATCGCCCCTGCACACATGCACATGTGCCTGGAATGAGTTTTAAGCTGCCGGATCTGGGACTCAAACCGCATTCAACTATGTAGGAGTCCAGTGATGCAACCATTATGCCATCTGTGGGTCCCTCTTATTTTAAAAAAATTTTTTGCTATAGGGTATGTACACTCACCAGAGAGGGTAGTGGGTGAGAAATCACCCCTCAGAGGGATGGCCATGCCGCAATCCCTTCTCCATTTCTGTAGGGATTTTGGGCACACATGCATACATGGCCTGTGTGTTTTTCAAGCTACCAGGTCTGAGACTCGAACCTCACAGTCAGCCTTAACCTCCATGCCACCTGCTGGTCCCATTATTTATTTTTTTTTCATTCAAACACAGCCCACCCTAGAGACCTGGTGGAAATGCTGCCTCCTTGAATGAGAGACCCGTGTGTCCTTGGCACAGTGGGCTGGCCTGCAGCGAGTGAATAATGTGCCGTTACTTAGAGAACAGGCGGCACATGGAGGGTGCTTACTCTCTAGGAAACAAAGGACGGGAGAACAGCTCAGGGCCAGCCTCGCCCAGCGTCCCCGGTAAGACTAGGGGTCAGCTGGTGGCCTCTGAGCACTGGGTACCCTGAACTCCAGCCCTTGTTTAATTACACAGTGGCTGTGGGGACTTGGACAAGTCCCTGAGCCTCTCTGAGCTTCTGTTTCCTTGCCTGGAAAACGAGGTGGCGATAAAACCTGTCTGACCAGACTGCTGTGCAAACTCAAACTCAGGGCTTATTAAACTGTTCTCTGATCGCCTGGGCCCTGAAAACACTGTGGATGGGAGGGGTTCTCAGTCCACCACCCCATACCTCCCTTCGACACCCCCTTCCATAGGTCTTACGAGAAGTTGGGGTTCACGTTGACGTGGTGGGCGTCCTCCACCTTCCGCAGGTCGCTGCCGTAGCCCACGGCCACCGTGCAGTTGATGCAGAGGAGCTGCACGCGGTCGGCGGGGAACTGCTGCCGCTGACTCTCCTGCTGGGCCGACTGAAGTGCCCGCTTGACCAGGGCTGCCTGCTGCAGGTCCCGGATCTGAGTGGGAGGGGACACTGGCAATGTCTGGGGTCCAAGAGACCTGACCCAGGAATGTTCCCAGGGGGGATAAAAGGATCCCACAGAACCTTGGTTCCCTCAGATCCTTTGTACCCAGAAGGGACTTCCTTAGCCCTCCCTGGAATTCTACGAAGCTCTGTGGAGAGAATTATTAATATTTTTTAAATTTAACTACAAGTTTATTTTAGTGCAAAAACCTTTTTAAATCCATTCAGGGTTTTTTTTTCTTTTTTCAAAATTTATTTTACATATTCATGTGGAGAGATTATGGTGTGTGTGTGGGGGGGTGGAGAACAATGAAAGGAGTCCAGCTTTCTAGCTGAATCTTTTTCCCCTCTTTGGAGGATGTCATTCAAAGCTACTTCTTTGTCTCTGTCACAAGGCATCATTAATAATTAAGCTGAGGGACCAGTAGTTGGCGTAACAGCTATGTTGCTGGACTCCCATGTAGTCAACCGGAGTTCGAGTCCTGAACACGGTGGCTTAAACTCACGCCGGGCACATGTGCATGCGTGCCCAAGATCCCGAGAAGAGAATGGAGGAGAAGGGATTGCGGCGTGGCCACCCCCCACCCCTGGGGGTGATTTCTCTCTTTCTGTCTCTCTCTATCTTTCTGGTGAGTGCACATTCCCTATGGCAAAAACCTCTCAAAAAAAGAAAAAAATTGTGCAGAGACAACAGGAGTAAACAGGGATCGCCCTAGACAAGGCTGGACAATAGCAACTGTGCCTCAAGGGAACTGAGGTAAGTCCTGGTCCCGGACCGATCTTGTACATGTGTCTGTTTCCCTTCTGCCTGGTTTCAGAAAGACCATAAGGCGGCTCCCACAAACACACACAGTATCTGGTGACGAGGATGAATTTAAAGGCTCTAGGCAAGGCCTGTTCTCAAGACCTCCTGGAGACCAGCCACCACCATCCCTCTCTCAATTCAAACCTTCCCCAGATGGGCCAAGTTCTCCCCAGGAGGAAAGGGAGGGAGGAGGAAAGGAAGGTAGCAGGAGAGACGATTTGTGTATACGCTCAGAGCCCTGCCAGGCAGAGCGTCCTCGCCCGCCCCTCCCTGTAGGGCATGCAGGCTGCCCACAGACCTTGGCCTGGTACTCAGCCTGGTCCATCTTCTGCACCACGGCTATTGCCTGCTCCATCAGTCTCTCCAGCGCCTCATTGGTCAGCTCCCGCCGCAGCTCCCGGCTGCCCCCCGGGGGCCTGTAGTCAACCGGAGTTCGAGTCCTGAACACGGTGGCTTAAACTCACGCCGGGCACATGTGCATGCGTGCCCAAGATCCCGAGAAGAGAATGGAGGAGAAGGGATTGCGGCGTGGCCACCCCCCACCCCTGGGGGTGATTTCTCTCTTTCTGTCTCTCTCTATCTTTCTGGTGAGTGCACATTCCCTATGGCAAAAACCTCTCAAAAAAAGAAAAAAATTGTGCAGAGACAACAGGAGTAAACAGGGATCGCCCTAGACAAGGCTGGACAATAGCAACTGTGCCTCAAGGGAACTGAGGTAAGTCCTGGTCCCGGACCGATCTTGTACATGTGTCTGTTTCCCTTCTGCCTGGTTTCAGAAAGACCATAAGGCGGCTCCCACAAACACACACAGTATCTGGTGACGAGGATGAATTTAAAGGCTCTAGGCAAGGCCTGTTCTCAAGACCTCCTGGAGACCAGCCACCACCATCCCTCTCTCAATTCAAACCTTCCCCAGATGGGCCAAGTTCTCCCCAGGAGGAAAGGGAGGGAGGAGGAAAGGAAGGTAGCAGGAGAGACGATTTGTGTATACGCTCAGAGCCCTGCCAGGCAGAGCGTCCTCGCCCGCCCCTCCCTGTAGGGCATGCAGGCTGCCCACAGACCTTGGCCTGGTACTCAGCCTGGTCCATCTTCTGCACCACGGCTATTGCCTGCTCCATCAGTCTCTCCAGCGCCTCATTGGTCAGCTCCCGCCGCAGCTCCCGGCTGCCCTCAGTGGCCACAAACGAGTACACGCTCTGACTGGCCCGGGCACGGCCCCTTGCCTGGGGAGAGAGACCCAGAGGGGCCTGAGAGGGGCTGGCAGCCCACATAGGCTACTTGGAGGGTTGTCGGGGAGGGGCGTGCTGGAGCACCTGCACCATGGAGATTTCGTTGGTCAGGAGCCCATAGCGCACCACCACGTTGCACTGGGGGATGTCCAGGCCCTCTTCCGCCACACTTGTGGCCACCAAGAGGTTTAGGGTACCAACCCGGAACTTCCGGATCACTTCTTGCTGGTCTCTCTGGGGTGGACCAATTGGACAAAGAGGATATAGTATGTGAGGTGGCTTCAGGTTACCCTCTGCCAGAGCAGCCTCTGCTTCAGCCCTTCTCTCCCAGTCTCGCCCACTTCCCTAGGGACCCTCAATTACACCTCTACTTCCAAGTGCCCCAGGGGTTTGCCCATCTTCTCAGGTCCCTGTCCAACCCCTGTCTCCCCTGGGATACCTAAGGGCCTCTGCCCCTCTACCTAGGAACGACTCCCAGGCCAAACTCTCTCTCTGCATGGGACCCCAGAGCCCCAATCCTCTGCCCTAGGAACTAACTATATCACCTTTGCCCCTACAGACCGTCAAGCTCCTGTTCCTCTGACCCCAGGGAGCTCCAGACTGCAGAACCTTCAGCAGCAAGGATCTCGGTAGCCCCCCAGCTCTCTACCCCCTGGCCTGGGGATAGTCAACCTCCTCCTCTGGGCTAAAGGCCCTGTTCCCTGCCCTTTCTCCCCAGCCCCAGCAGCTTCCCCCGAAACCCACACCTGGGTCATGTGGGTGTTCTGGCTGCTGCTCCCAGCACCAGTGAGCACTTGAGCCCTGACGGCCGCCTGCAGGCTGGGCTGCTCTTGGAGCCAGAGCAGGAGCGAATGAGTGCTCAGGCGGGTGCGGGTGAAGATGATGCCCCGAGGGCTGCTTGGGCTGTTGGGGCTCCCGAACTGATTCCTCAGGATTTGTTCCAGCATCTCCAGTTTGGGGTTCTCTGGGCCAGTAATTGCCAAGCGGGTCAGTGCATTCCTGTGGCCTGCCGAAACCCAAAACACAGGCACAAGACTCAGGTCTGGGGGTGGGTGGGGAACTGAGGGCGGGGTGCTCACAGGGCTATTGCTGCAGGACTGCAGAGGCACTGGAGAGGAGGAGACCTACCTCTTCTGCTCAATTCTCCCTCAACTGGCACCAAAGACACTCTTAAGCACCTGCTCCCGGCAGGGTATACAGGGGCTGAGTGGCCCCCCACCCCCTGCTCCACCTCTCGTCTTCCCGGTCACCCTTCCCTGTAGGGCCTCAGTGGCTAAGCGCCATCTCCAAATGTTCCACTCAAACAGGTCCCACCCCTACCACTGTCTGTTGTACCCCGTATTAATGCCGCAATACATCAGGGCATACAATGTAGAAACCTTAGTTCACATGCCTCAGACCAGCGCCCGTTCTCAGGGGGCGCAGGGTCTGAGCAATCCACTGCCCCCGCTGAGCTGTTCATGCTGACCTCTGCTACTGGGGGTGGCCTGGACGGCAGGTCCCTCGACTTCTAGCCTGTGCTGAGGCTTCCAACCTTATAGTTCGCCCTCTGATTTTCAGTCTTGCTTTCCCAGTCTGAAGGTACTACCACCCTACATTTTAAAAAATTATTTTTTATTTAATTTTATTTATTCATTCATTTATTTTCATTTGACCAGAAAGAGACACACCGAGAGGGAAAGTGAGAAAGCAAGCCACCAGGTCTGGGACATGAACTGCGGTCAGCCTTGTGGAAGTGTCCTGCACCCCAGCCAGCATGCCACCTGCTGGTCCCCCACCCTAGATTTTCAATAACATGGACTAGTTGTTGTTTTGTAGGTTTTTTGGGTTTGTTTGCCATAAGGCACATGGGCTCTCCAGAGAGAGACAGATTTCCAGGACTCCAACCATAGTCAGCCATGTGGGAATCCAATACCTCAGTCACCACACCACCCACTGGTCCCAGCTTGGATTAGTTTTTATAACTATGCAAACTTGCACAGAGAAAGAAAGAAATCTATCATACCCAAGGCTTTGGGTTTTGATTAGAAAAATCATGCCCCAGGCCAGCAGCTGATGTGGAGGCTGGAGAAGCCGGATCCCACATAGACAACTGTGCAGCTGAGTCCTGGACCCGCCACCTTGAGAGTCACACCCGGTGTGTATGTGCGAACACATGCACGCAGGTCCAAAATCCCAAGAGGAGAATGGAGAAGAGACTGTGGCATGACCATCCTCCTGGGGTTGATTTCTCATTTTTCTCCTCTTTTACTGTCTCTTTCTAGCAACCCTATGCGACCCACAGCAAACTAAAAAGAAAAAAGAGGGACCTGCAGTTGGCGTAATGGCTATGTCGCTGAACTCCCCCATAGTCGACCGCGGTTTGAGTCCCGGACCTGGTGGCTTAAACTCACCCCAGGGGCGTGTGCGTGCATGTCCAAGATCCCGAGAGGAGAATGGAGGAGAAGGGAGCGAGGCGTTGCCATCCCCCCTGGGGGTGATTTCTCACTGTCTCTCTCTCTCTGTCTCTGTCTTTCTGGCGAGCACACGCGCCCTAAAGCAGAAACAAACCAACCAACAAAACACAACTCTCCTAAAAAGAAAAAAGTGAGAGAGTCCCGGCACTTACGCCGGCACCTTCCCATCTTGCGTAGGCACCCGGTGCTCGGGATGGCTTCCAACCACTTGTCAGGTGTCCACCTCCCCACCTCGTGGCTCACCCTCAAACAGTTCCAGCAGCCAGCGCTCGGCACGCAGGATCTGGACTTTAGTGGCGCGCTCCTTGTCGTAGAAATCCTGGAGCATAGTCAGGGCGTCCACCGCACGGACTGTGTCGTGGATGAGCAGCGCGTCGTTGTAGCGCCGCAGGTGAATTGCGTACACCCGCCGCTCCTGGAGCCCGGCCTCAGCCGCTGTCGGCACAGGGCGCAGGGTCTGAGAGATCCACACCCGGCCCCCACCCCTCCGTCTGCCATCCCCGCCCTGCCCCCAAGGAGCTAAGCCTAGGTCCCCAAAGGCTCCGCCCAGGCAGGTCCCGCCCCTGACCGCCTCGGCAGACTTTGCAGTGGTTCTCACCAGCTTGGCTCAGCTCCACCACCCGCTGCTCATACACCTGTGTCCCAAAGTCCCGGCTCAACTCCGGCATCTCCATGTGGTCGTGGATTTGGTCCATGAGCTCCTTCAGCAAATCCCCAAACGGGTCCTGGGCAGAGCAGTGAGGGTGTGAGGGGATCAGCGCACATAATGGAGGGAGAGGTGCCCATGGGGGAGTCGGGGAAGCACGGGGGTGGGGGGGGTGGG